AAAATAAATAAAAACGGGAAATACAAGGGTGAGATAAGGAAGAGAAATGAAAAAACAACACCATAAAAACAAAATAGAAACGGGAAATACAAGGATGAGGTAAGAGAAATGAAAAGAATAAAAATACAAGAAATACAAGAGTGGAGAAAAGGAATCCATATCTATATAAGAACACATATCATATATATGGACCAACTCTTTTATGACATAAACACGCTTAGGGGACACATAGACGCCTCTCAAAAGACCTACACAGCCATCTGGGTGTCAACAACAACACCGAGTATTAGTATTCAAATATAACCCCTATCAACCTGCTTTATATGTGTCTGTGGCCACGCTCCGACAGCGGCCAAGACGATATGACATCTTTATGGCCATATTTGGATAAGGAATTCATCAGCTGCATTTCCTTCCCCGGAGACTTCTCATATTGCTGTGTATGATTTCATAATGCTTCACTAAGAATGTTGTGCCTTGGTTTATGTTCTTAATTATGGTAGCAGCGATTCGTGATTTTGGAATCATTTATTCTATTTCAGTGTAGTGTAAAGATGTAAACAAAATCATGCATTAATTATTGGATGAAATATAGGCAATCCCAGCATCACACTTTGGGCAGAGAGAGAAAGTGTGTGTGTGTGTGTGTGTGTCTGTGTGTGAGAGAGAGAGAAGAGAGAGAAGAGAGAGAGAGAGAGAGAGAGAGAGAGAAGAGAGAGAAGAGAGAGAGAGAGTAGAGAAGAGAGAAGAGAGGGGGGGGGAGAGGAGAGAGAAAAGAGAGAGAGGGAGAGAGGGAGGGCGAGAGAGAGAGAGAGAGAGGAGAGGAGAGAGAAAGTAGAAAAGAGAGAAATAAAATAATTGGGGAAATATTGGCATCTTCAGATCACAATATCTCTCTGTCCACTTTCAGGATAAGCCAGCCTGTCATGCCTAGATGGCTCACCTTAAATAGATTGGTCTGTCACGGAACGCATAGAAAACGGGAATAAAGGTAACGGTCGTCATTATCCATAACAGAAAACGTATGCCATGTAGGGGTGTCTATGATATTTTTGAAAACACTCCTGTATTTCCATCTCTACCCCCTCCTCTTCTTCTCTCCATATTCCTCTCCCTTCCATCTTCCTTTCCCTCTCATGTCTCCTTCCCTTTACCTTCCTTTCCCTCTCATCTCTCCTTCCCCTTATCTTCCTTTCCAATTCATCCCTTCTCCTTCCCTCCCTTCCAATTTCTTCTGGACTAACTACATCTTGACGTATAATTGCTCTAATATTCTTGCTTTTCTCATCCTCATGTATCAACTTCTGATAATTCAAATCACCTTTTTCATTGATAAAATTCTTAATGTCAATTTCGCATTTATTCCTTCTCTCATTAAGGCTTTTAAACATTGTTGAGACGAGTCAAGGGAACTTTTAATATTTCCTTTGGTCTGATTACCCTAGTCTCACCCTATGATGCACAAACACTCATTATAAGTTTGTGTACGAGTATGTGTCTGTCTCGTTTTATTAGGATACTAAACACCAATAGTTTTTTTCTTTGTCTTTTTTTATTTATCAAAACAAAATCCCAGATCGCATGTTGCAGGGAAAGTCCTCGCATTCACGTCTTCCTTTTTAACCGCTGGTCATTTATGTTTTATTTATTTTTATCTTTTATTTATCTACTTATTTTTTGACGCTCCCAAAATCAGAGGGAAGATTTACATCATCGTGTAGTCTCTTGAACTTGTCATTCACGATATTAGCGTACATGTACACACGCACACGGAAAAGCACCTACACACACGCAGACACGCATACGTAAACTACGTGCATGACATTATCCATGCATCCCCAGCATACATGTACACGCCCATACAGAACGCACTTACCACACACACACACACACACACACCACGCACACACACATACACACACACTCACACACACACACACACACACACCACACACACCACACACACACACACAAACACACACACACACACCACACACACACACAACCACATACACACACACAACCCACAAACAAACACACACACACACACACATACACACGTAAACCGCATGCATGACACCAAGGTCTATATAAGTACTTATATAGACCTTGCATGAGAAGGCGCGAGAAGTTGCAATTGTCGCTCGGAGGTTACTGCTGTGGCTGGGCACCGCGGGGGTAAGGACTAAGCTCTGTCGCGTCAGCACTCGCTGACACACGTTGATCGAGTCGACATCTGTCGGCACAGGCCGGGCTCCCCCATAGCCCGGGCGAGGCTCAGCTTCGCACATCGGACTTATCCTTATCCTTATCCTTGCCTGACACTCTCCCCACATTCCAGGACCGCGCTGTGGGGCCGCCGACTCGACCTCCTGACTGAGCGAGCTTCTGAAGTGTCTCGAGTCTGCCGTTCGAATCCCTCGCTCTCCGAAACACCGGCAAATGACCCCTTTATATGGGACACAAAGCATACTCCTAATATAGTCTGGTGTCCAGTCTATAAGGTATAGAGTTTATGTGATTTAGGATTATTCTGTTCATGGAGGTGATATAAAGGGTGCAATATATATTTTCTCTGTGGTACAATATATATATATAATATATATATATATATATATATATATATATATATATATATATATATATATATATATATAATGGTACAATAGGTGGTGATATATTTTTCTAAATTTTGATTAAGGAAAAATAATAATAAAAAAAAAAAAAAAGAACTTAATATCCCAACAGAAATAATGATGATATCCACATAGAATAAGTATAAAAAATAAATAAAGATAATTACTGATAATAAGTAAAAATAAAGAAATAAAATAAGTAAGAAAATCAGATGATAAATGAAAATAAATAGAATAAAACAAAAAAGAAAAATCGCCATTTTACTCGTTATTACTTCATTTTCCTAAAAAAAAATCCAGGTCGCTTCTACCACCTGGATGAACAATTTCTTTCTCATCGCCAACCGTAGCAACTTCGACAATAGTCTTTTTCAGAAGTTTAAGGAGAGGAAAGAGAAGACAAAGAAAAATGGAATTAACGTAAGTCTCTCTAAAATAATAATAATAATTATAACAATAGTAATAATAACATATATATTTTCTTTTTTTTAGTGATGTAGGTCAAGGTTATGCAATGTAGGCCTATAGGTTTAATTGATTTCGTGGTTCAATGCAGGCTGCAGGTTTATATTTTTTTAGTTCTGATTATTTATATATATAATTTCATATTTGGTGTCTTTTTCTTTTTCTGTCTCTCTGCCTCTGTCTTTGTCTGTATCTCCCTCCCTCCCTCTCCCCACCCCTCCCTCCCTCCTTCTATCCTCCTCCACTCCCTCCCTCCTCCTCCTCCCCCATCCTTCTCTCCCTCTCCCCTTTCATCCTCCCCCATCCTTCCCTTCCCCCCTCCACCTCCCTTCCCTCCCTCCCATCCTTCCCCCTCCCCCTCCCCTCCCTCCCCTTCCCTCCCTCCTTCTCTCCCTCTCCCCCCCAACCCTCCCCCCCACCTCCTCCCAGATGACCCAACCCTTTGACCAAAAACTGGTGCGGGAGATGTACCCGGGGCCCCCCCTCTCCCCCCAAGAGAGGTCAGAGGTCTTGAAGAACGCCGTCAGAGTCATCATCGTCAGGCACCCTTTTACCAGGTAACTTCGTCTAACTTCGTGGAGCTTCGTGTGACTGAAAGTAACTTCATGTAAACTTCATGTAAACTTCATGTAAACTTCATGTAAACTTCATGCAAACTTCGTGTAAACTTCATGTAAACTTCATGCAATTTCATGTAAATATCATGCAACTTGTAAATTGTAAATTCATGTAACTTAAAGTAACAGTGTAAGCTTCATGCAACATCGCGTAACTTCGTGTGAACTTCATGTAACTTAATGTAACTTTGTGTAACTGAAAGTAACTTCCTGAAACTCCGTGTAACTTCATGTAAACTTTATGCAACTTCGTGTAAATTCATGTAACTCAAAGCAACTTCGTGTGAACTTGGGGAAACTTAGTTTAAACTTCATGCAACTTGTGTAACTAAAAGTAACTTCATGTAACTCCATGCAACTTCTTGAAACTCCGTGTAACTTCATGTAAATTCATGTAAATTTC